CACCTCTGAAGAGGGATAAGACTTGCAACCCCCCCCCCATAAGACCACTTGTTTGCTGTCGATGGTGATCCGTAATGTCTGGGGACGGGATCCTGGTGATTGAGGGCTTCAGGAGTCAGGGTTAGATAATTTTGATTCCTAATACCCCACTTTGACCCTTAATTGGACTAGATGGGTGGTCGAAGAGGCCTGATCTGATGAATCAGCTGGTCATGCCAAGCCCTAGTGCCTATAACTATGTCATTTTATGAAGTCCTTTATAACTAAATACAATATCCCAAACATATATCATCTATCTCCAATTTATAGGTGAGAGAAGGCGATGACTGAGGGTCAGTTGGTTTGAAGAGATCTAGACAGACATGGCTATAAACATACCCATTTGTACACTTATTTTTGGGAAGTGCAACAAATGGTTCAACAGGTGCTCAGTCTCTCTTGAATATGAATATACTGGTTTGTGTAGCTCTGACCTGTCAAGGTGACTGGGTTTCAGAATAAAAAGCCCAAGAGATGGGGAAATAATTCTGAAAAAGAAATTAATATGGAATTTTCAAGATTTTTTGTGCTCATATCCCTATAGAAAATTTTACTGGCAAAATTTTCCCCTTTCTTGATTGAAAAGTTACTATCCGGTAGGATTAATGCTAAAGCAGTTAGAAAGTTGAGAGATGGTAACTTGCTGGTTGAAGTGGGACATAGAAAACAGAGAAAACAAAGATAAAGACCTTTCATAATATCAAAATTAAAACTTCCCTTCATGCAAGACTGAATGCTTCTAAGGAAGCCATTAGAAATAAAGAGTTGACTCTGGCTACACCTGAGGAAATTACATCTGCCTAAAATCTGCCTATTACTCCTTGTGGAGTTCTGGGGTGCAGGGTTATACTGCACCCCAGAACTCCACAAGGAGTAATAAAAGTTAGAGTATGTTAAATTGTTAATGTACTTATTTTTTTATATTTATTATCTTGTATTTTTATTTATTTTTTTTTTTCAATGTCAAAACATAATGCATTGCATCAAATATTACTCAAACATTTTTTTATCTGTATACAAAAGATAAAGATTTCTAGCATATCTTTTTTTTTTTTTTTTTCTTGGCCAACTAGCACGTTGCTTAGTCAAGTTTGCCAAAATAAAAATCAAGTTTTATAGTTTCTTTCTTCCTTCTCATAATTCGTCTTTTTCCTCCCCAGTTTGCTGTAATGTCTCTCTATAAAAGAAATCACCTGTCACCACTTCTTCTCCCCCCCCCTCACCATGATGTAAGTGACATTCCAATTTTTTTTTCTTCTTCCTTTCATTCAAACCATGTGTCCTACTAATTATTTTCAGCCATAGCTCCTGTCACTCACCATGGTCTAGTAGTAGCTAGACCTCTTCCTGGTGTGACCAGGGTATGAAAGTGTCATCTACATATCTCAGTTATAGGGTTGGCTTTAATAATGCAGATTCTAATGCCATTTCTTCAAAGTATTCCATGTATATGTTTGCCATTGTTTTGACAATGGTGAGTTCATTGCTAAACCTTCATCCTGCCGATATATAGCTAATCTCATTCCAAAATGTGTTGTTTGTGTACAGAAAGTCAGCATCTCCATCAGATTATTTATTGGTATACTGGTCCATTCTCCCAGGGATGAATCTGAGGCCAGTCTGTTCCTGACTACGGTTAGTGCCTCCTCTGTAGGTACCTTGGTGAACAAACTCACCACATCCAGGCTCACCATCAGGATGGGAGCATCTTTAATTATTTCCACAAAGTGGGCAGAGTTCCAAACATGTAATGGTGACTTTCCTATTAAAGGATTGATTATATCTTCTAGGAAGTGACTCAGAGGGTGGCATACAGAGCCTTAGCAGTTAACAATTGGCCTCAGTGAAATAACCATCTTTCTGAATTTTTGCGAGACCGTATATGTGAGGTAGCTTGGTGTAACACTGTAACAACTGCCTGTATGTCTTAGGTGTGAAGTGGTCTATGTTCTTGATTAGGATCTGCAACAGTTTTTGTTCTGTTTTCATTGTAGGATTTTTCTTTACTATGGCTACCATTTCTAATGAGGTCATCCAGTTTTCCTGTATATTCTGTTTTGTCCATCACTACAATCGACAACAGATCGAACAACGTAAATAGTGTAAATAATTACTGTAGGAAAAAACAAAAGAAATAAATAAATGATGATGGGGGGATCAAAAGGTGCAGTGCGATGCTCGCTGACAGGTCAGCTATTTTTCTTCTTCTTCGGTCGCCTCAAGGAAATGGATTGCGTGGTTTGCTTTCTCGGCCATTACACTCGGCAGTTGTGAAACAGACACCAACTCAGCCACGCCTACTTCAACTTCCTCTTTGTCTGTCTGTCAATCCGTACATCCAACTCTAACACACGCAGTCTGCCGAATGACTTGTTTCTCTCGGTGCTGCTGGCACCCCACTTTTTATGCTATTCCAAGATGGCCAAAATTTGCATGTGTGCAAATATCAACTCGTTTTGAACGAGATAAGTGCACATCAGTTGTGTCTTCAATAGCTGCCATATTTCTTTTTTGTCATCACTTTGCAGGCAAGACACATTTGCGCTCCTTTCGAATTCCGAGGTAAGTCATATCTTTTGTTACATACCTCATCTCAGAAATATAGACAGAAACCAAATCGTTGTTACATTTTTAACCTGAGTTAATTCTTTATTTTTGTGTAGTGCTTCACCATCAACCTATTCTTCACTTTAGTTTACTTCATTAGAGATTTTCTTATCCTCTGAGATCAAAAACACAATATAGCAGAAGAAAGAATGACCGTGAAGGAGATCAATGCCAGCTAGATTGAGTGGAACTGTGTTCATCATGACAAGACCAGCAACACATTAATGAGTGAGAAGTTAGCTAGATGGTAACCATGGTGGTCTGAAGGAACCTGAAGACAAATGCAATGCTGTGGGTGTTGTTTTTTTTTTTTTATTTAGCCTCTGATCTAGCAAATATTTGAGAAAGGCCTTTGAAGACTGAAGTGGAAAAGAATTCCATACCAACAGCAATTGAGTATAGGTCGGTTGTTCCTAAGATGAAAGTCAGCTGATCTATTAATTAACATTAATAAAACTGACAATAATAGCTGGCTTTCTTTTGGAACGCAGCTGCAGCAATTCTTCAGGGTTTAAAGCTTTTTATTGATGGCATCAGTATAAGGTAGATGGTTACTGAATTAAATGTATATGAACATAGGAGAAATTGGGGAAAATTATGAGGATCTAGTAATGTGGGGAAAGGGGATGCAAGGTAGAAAATAACCCCTCCTTAATAAGACTAAGTTAGATCCATACCTTTTGATGGAATTAGATATGAAGACCATGTTAGTCAGGCAGTGTCCAAGTGAAGTGAGGAACTCTCTCTGTTCATACTTTGCAGCATGTGTACAAGACATAGTGGTGATCCATTGACACAACCAGCCTATGTGTATAGAGGGAAAGTGGCAGTATCCTTTTCTGCTTCTCCGTGGACCTTTCCATTTTTGGCCTGGAGTGCAAGGCAAATAGCTGAACATCTTAAGCTCATTTCAATTGCATTTTCTTGTTTTTTGTTTTGTTTTTTTTTTTTCACCCTGTCAGTTTTGCTTTTTTTCATCAAGCTTGTTAATTTGTTATGGGTTTCTGTTCAGTGTCCGTCAACAAGCAAAGTATTATTCAGATCTAGTTATTGGTCTGGTTTTGTTTGGTTTATTTTGTTTTATGGCATATCAACCTCAATGAGTTATTGTTATGGTGACCTATCTACATTAGAATGAACTTTTCCTCCTTCATAAATACTAAATCGCAAGACTTCCTAAGGAGGCAGTCAGGACACAGTGTAACCTGATAGTTTGGATGGACACTTCTATCTGCTGACTAATAACACTCTTATTTTGTATATATTTTCTGTTATTTCAATACACTTGTTCAACCTACCTACCTTCTTTCCAGGTCTTTCTTTCTGGCCCCTAACAGGCCACAACAGTTATTTAATGCCAACACAATTTTTTGGATAGTTTCATATGAATAGAATGTACTCTTTGTAAGAAATCAGTTTGTAGATCAAGTTTCATTGACGTATTTTTATAAAGTGTTGTTTTTTTTTTTAGGAGTCAAATGTATTACTGGTAATATTTTTTTCTCAAAAGTGTATTGCTGGTATTTTTACTATAAAAACCTATTTTTACATTTTCATAGTGTTTTAACCCTACTTTGGGTATTTGCTCATAGATGGGGACCCTAACAGGTGCTACCACACAGTCAAGGTGAACCTGAACATCAATTAAGAGGTGGTTCCATGCTCCTCAAAACCTCTTGATCAGAGGCTTTGCTGCCAGATGTAGTTTATCATCATAGCCAGGACAAGATCTGGTCATCTTGATTGCAAGAAACAAATGGATACAGTAATAATGCCCACACTTGTATGTGTAATAAAATATTTAAATGTAAGAGTTAATAAAAATAAATTAAAATTATTTTAGATTTTAAGAAATTTTATAATTGTTTCATAATTTCTTTTTAAATTACAAAATAATATTGATTCTGCTCTCTCTCAAAAGAAATCTTATCACAAGTTAATCTTCATGAAATTCAATGTCCGTTGGTTAAGCTTTCATAGCCAAATTGATAAAGTGCTGTCCTGACAAACTCTCAGGGATAGAGGATGAGAATTCAATTCTTGTCCATATATCATAAAATACAGTAATTCTTGGTTGTTCCCCACATAAAGGTCTAACATCTTCACCCACAATTAACCTTTTCCTTTCAAGAAGTACAAATACATTAAATTTAATGATATTGAAATGAAAAAATATTTATTTTTGTTTTAATTTTTTACTTTTTTTTTTTTTTTTTTGTACCTATATTTATATATATATATATATATATATATATATATATATATATATATATATATAAAATGAAAATTGATTTTTAAAAAAAAAAATAGCAAAACCTTTTTTTTTTCTTTTTTTTTTTTTTTTTTTTTTGTAG